AGCTGGACTACTGCCCGCGTGTATACAAGATGATTTGCTGGGAGCAGGCAGTTCTAATTATGGTCGGTGGCTTTACAGCAAAGGCAGTGTTAAGGTCACTGAATTCCGGTAAGAGTATTGTGGCCAGAGATGGGCATTAAACAAAAGGTTCAATTGGGATTTATCAAATACAAACAATTACATAAGTGGAAAAATATTAATAAACATTTTGCTAATAAAGGTACAATGAATATATTTTCATAATGGTTGTTCTTTCATGGCGTGTACCTGAAGTACGCCGTTTTCTTGCTTTATCTGCAAGTGAACCACACACATAGATGGCAGCTGTTTTTATTGGAAATATTTGTAGGAACTTTCAGTTATTTGTACACAGTCCAAACTGCAAAGTATTATTTGGCTTAGCTTGTCATCCACTAATTGTAGCACATATATAAAGTATATGAATGTGGCCTAGCCTTGGGATAGATCATGTGAATGATCTCTATATAGAAAGAGCAGATTCTGTTTGAGAATTGGATAAACTAAATTGTATGTAAAAAAATATGAATCGAAGCCTCTGTGAATAGGGGCTGGTGAGCTTTGTGTGCTCCATACTCCCAGTGCAGCCCCGTGGAACATTGTCAGCAGCCACATCTAACTCTATTCCCTGAAATGCGGTTCCAGGCTCCAATGTACATTTCTCTTCATTAAGCTTTTCAGATTAGTTTGGTGTGTTCAATCCTGCATGAAACTACTTTGGCATTACTCACGTCAGCCTTGGTCGCCTTCTGGAATTTTCTGTTCCATTTTCGAGTACAGCAGTCTTGCAGATATTTATAGAATTTGGCTTGCTTTGTGGCTGTAGGTAGAAGCCATCTGTACCAAAGATTTTTCCTATTAGATTCTCTTATTCTATTTCCTTCATTTTTATCATCATCTTTAAAAATACCACTTGGTGTTAACTAAAAAGATATATACACAATTGGCATTTAATACAGCAATCATTTCTATAGGTGAACTGTCACACCTCTGACTCACACGTTCTTGTCATACTGTATAGCCAGAAGAGAACACAACTTATTCAGAGTCTGCAGCTTCTTGTTTTCCTCTCCATTTATTCTGCTCATTGCATTATAAACGACCATCTCTCCATTGCTGTGTTCTTGTCTTGAAAGCTGCCTAAATACCTGGTACCTAATATACACTATATTGCCAAAAGTATTGGGACAGCTGCCATTACATGGACATGAACTTTAATGGCATCCCAGTCTTAGTCCATAGGGTTCAATATTGAGTTGGCCCACCCTTTGCAGCTATAACAGATTCGACTCTTCTAGGAAGGCGTCCACAAAGTTGAGGAGTGTGTCTATGGGAGTGTTTGACCATTCTTCCAGAACCGCATTTGTGAGGTCAGGTACTGATGTTGGACGAGAAGGCCGGACTCGCAGTCTCCACTCTAATTCATCCCTAAGGTGTTCTATCGGTTTGAGGTCAGGACTCTGTGTAGGCCAGTCAAGTTCCTCCACCGCAAACTTGCTCATCCATGTCTTTATGGACCTTGCTTTGTGCACTGGTGCGCAGTCATGTTGGAACAGGTAGAGGTCATCCCCAAACTGTTCCTACAATGTTGGGAGCATGAAATTGTCCAAAATGTCTTGGTATGCTGATCCCTTAAGAGTTCCCTTCACTGGAACTAAGGGGCCAAGCCCAACCCCTGAAAAACAACCCCACACCATAATTCCCCCTCAACCAAACTTTATACTTGACACAATGCAGTCAGGCAAGTACTGTTCTCCTGGCAACCGCCAAACCCAGACAAGTCCATCGGATTGCCAGACGGAGAAGTGTGATTCGTCACTCCATAGAACACGTCTCCACTTCTCTAGAGTCCAGTGGCGGCGTGCTTTACAGCGCTGCATCCGATGCTTTGCATTGCACAGGGTGATGTAAGGCTTGGATGCAGCTGCTCGGCCATGGAAACCCATTCCATGAAGCTCCCTACGCACTCTTGTTGTGCCAATCTGAAGGCCACACGAAGTTTGGAGGTCTGTAGCTATTGACTCTGCAGACAGTTGGCGGCTTCTACGCACTGTGCGCTTCAGCATGCGCTGACCCTGCTCTGTCATTTTACGTGGCCTACCACTTTGTGACTGAGTTGCTGTTGCTTACACTTTGTTATAATACCACTAACAGTTGACCGTGGAATATTTAGTAGCAAGGAAGTTTCACGGAAAACACCTGAATCCATGATTTGGAGGGGTGTCCCAATACTTTTGGCAATATAGTGTATGTTGGAATTATAGCATTGTGCAATGTAAGAGAGTCTGATTGGTGTCCAGTGCTAAAGCAAAAAAAAAAAAGCAAAGGATGAATTGGGTGCAGGTTTGCCAGGAGGTAGCCCAACCTCCTTAAAGGCACAGGGACACTCCAGGAGTCCCTTTGCTTGGTGTCCAGTGCTGAAATTCTAATTTCCTTCCTGCTGCAGCATCCCCATCTGTCCAAGCTCTGGTGTCAGCTTAGACAGGCCTGAACTTATGTACCCCTCCAGGTGACAATGTTCCTGTCTGGAGTTTGGCCACTCTGGCCCAAGCATTGTCATATGAAGATGGCCTTCAGTGCAAGTTTGTAAATCTTTATATTTGATATACTGATACTATAGTAGTATGAAGTATGCAGAAATGTGAAAGTCACATATAAAATCCATAGTGAACATGTAAGGCAGCCCCAGGTTCAGGTGCCTGCTGACTAAGTTTATCTTCAGTTTGCCTTCCGGGGTGAGCGGTCATACACTACTGTTCAGGCATTAGCATCGTCAGAAGAAGGTTTACATATTTTCCATTCCTAACTACCTTTCTGTTCTCCTACAGATAAGCAGTAAAGATGAAGATTTTCTAGACCTTTCTGTCGATGTAGAACAAAATACATCAATTACTCATTGTTTAAGGTAATTATTTCAACATAAAAAATGCCTCCTTAAATTATAGTGATGTTTCATCAGCGCAAATAGTTTAAATCATCACAGATGGTAACTTTTGATTCATTTCATATTGTCCGATTGTTTCTCTCGCATTATTGTTTTTATGCTGTGAAATTTGATGGTACATTATTAATGTGGTCTTGAAACCTAAATGAGACCTCCACCCAACACTTAGTTTTGTCCTGGAAAAGGAGTGATAGCTGCAACCTGAGTGTAAAAAACTTGTCTTTGTAGCTCTGCTGCTTGCGGGCCTCAGATAACACTGGTCTACAAGGAGAAAGCCTCGGGAATGAAAGTAGCTACATTTTACCAGCATTAGTAAGTCAGGTTGAAAAAAGACACATGTCCATCGAGTTCAACCCAACCCAGTATTGGGTCACTAATAAAGGAAAATGAAGTCCTGAGTATTAATTGGCTCCAGTTTCTAAGATACAGCTTCAGATCAAAATTGCATCAAAATAATTCAAAATTACGAGGGGGATGTGCGATTATGCTGCATATATTTTCTGCAAAATGTGATCTAGCAATGAGAATGGTGCCACACCAATCATTATAAATGTATCTTTTTAGTGATACCAGTAACATAACTTTTCATTTATTGGTTTTTCATGCTTTTTGTATGAGAAACTGACAAGCTCTAACATCAGATCAAACGACATGGTTCCATCTTTATTCGGTATCTAAACTGCGCTTTTTGGCTTTTCTCTTGTGAACTGCAGTAGGGTCCCCCCTGGAGAGATTCCAGCAGTAATTGGCAAGCATGGACGGACTCCATTTCCCTTGGTATCTTTTCTCCATGCCTGCAATATCCTGGTGGAATCTCTCCTCATGCTCATCAGTCACTGCCCCACAGTTCAAAGGGAAATAGTCTAAATGCGAGTGTAGGAAGTGAATTATCAGTGACATGTTTGCACCAAGTGCTTTATAGGACCTAAGCAACTTTTCCACGTGTTTTTCATAGTCATTTGCCTTGCTGTTCACGAGAAATTCAGTTGGGTTCCCTCCTCACCATTGGGACTGCGAAAAGCATGGACTTGTCCTCCTTGTTTAGCCAATGGTGAATAAATGTCAACCGCACACAACCAGTATTGCAGTCCAAAGAGTTTGTTTATTGGAACGTCAAGATCACACCACTTTATAGAGACCAACATATAAAAATGAACCACCAATCAAGGTTAATTAACGTCATGCTCGTCAAAAGAAAAAGTTAAACAGCTGAATGCTGACTAATGAACTTCAGCTGTTTTTAACTTTTTCTTCTGACGAGCATGACGTCTTTATGCTACAAGGTATCTTTTTGTTTGTCTCTTTGTTTAGCCAATGACACAGATAAGTTGCACATGTAATGCAACAATAATGAGGGGCCCAACTCTTGTCCTGATCCCCTATTTTGCATCCAACATATAGGTGGTATGCCTTTTTTACCACTGCTGTCATACTGCACTTTTGAGATGCAAATGTAGCAGAAGTTATCTATGTTGTTTACACAGTTTCGAGGCACCTTGGCTTCTAAGGGGAAATATCACGCAACTGTTCCTTGGAAATGTTAGGCAATGACACTTTCACACAACACCGGATGTAACTGTATGATGCGTAGATCTGACCAAGACAAATGTACCTTGCAATAAAAGAAAAATACATTACAGTTAGGTAATAATCTTTAGTTTCAACGTGAAGATAATTTTATACACTTCCATGTGGTACCATTTTCATTGTTCTACCGTACTGAGAAGTTACGAGGCATCATAATCATCAGACACCTCCCTCCCTTGTAGGCAAATATACGCGCCTGTGTATAAATCTTTATTGTGAAATATCTTGAAAAACTTTAGCCAACCAACCAGCACCTTTTACCACCTGCTTTCTAATCTAATCCATCTAATCAAAATATGTAAGAATGAACACATTTTATCTCCGAGGTCGATCATTTCCTCAAATTTGTAGACCAATGTAATAGTTCCCTTGCGTCTCTCTTGGTTGATCACATCCTAGTTGGTAGACTCGCCACCAAAGTGACTGCAGGTGTAAATCTGTGTGAGATCCAAATAGCAGGGCTAGAAAAGGTTAGTGTAGTTTGATTTAGCCTGCTGCCTCCACCCAAAAAGAAAACCCTGGTTTTGCAGTAGTGGTAATTTTTGCCCTTGGGTCGTTCATCAAAAATCTGTCTTTGGAGATAAGCCTACAAATTGACCATGCAATGAGGAATCTGAATGGAGATGCTTGAAGGCCAACCCTTCACTGGGCATGTATATATTCATTCCTCATATCTTTAGATGCTCATGCTGCCTTTAAGTAGCGGTAAATAGAAGACTGCGTAAAATGTTAAACCTATTACTTTTTTTGTGTTTTTTTTTTCATGCCAGTTATCCAATAACTGCCTTTAGGATTGCACTCCATACCTAGGGAGACTGTTGCATAATTTCACTAAATACGTTCATTTTAATCAGTGTTATTCAGCATATGGCTGCGTTTGAGCTCTTGAGCATAAACCTTTGCACAAACACCCCTACATTATATACAGGATATATTCAGATACCACTGGGTAATCCTTTGTTGTCTACTACTTCCTTTGTTGTCTACTACTTCCTTGTACTACTTCCTTGACATTAATTATGTCATTAATGTATATCATAAGTAACCATTTCATGTTTAATCATTTTAGGGGATTTAGCAACACGGAAACCCTTTGTAGTGAATACAAATATTACTGTGAAGAATGTCGCAGTAAACAGGAAGCACATAAACGGTAATGTATTGACGGCCACATTTACTGTATATTTAAGTATAACAATCATGTGCCGAGCTGAATAAATATATACAATTCAGTGAACTATGTGATATAACAATAAGATATATAAGTATATGCTTTAAAAGTTATATTCTAAAGAACATACCAAAACATGAAAGGATGAGAACAGAGTGATAAAAACAAAATCCAATGTGCAACAATTATAATAGTGCAAATAAATGCAGGGGATAGTCCACCACTAGATAGATTCAAACTTCCAAGTAAGCAGTTGCCACAGAATCCTGACACACTTTCACCTCCACCAAGTGAATGCAAAAATTTGAACAGTGCTCACCTGGGGAGGTGGACCCACAGAACTAGGTCTCAAAGCGCATTGCCCTTCTTAATAGGGGAGGGAAGCCCGTATGAATGAAGACCAGATCACCTTCTCAGCTCGCAAAAAACATCGTTTCACAGGGAGACAAAATATCAAGCGGACATAGTACATATCGTCCAAAAAAGTACAATTTTATTGAATAAAAGCAGGTACTCACAATGTCACAGGTGACAAAAGGCCTAAAACAAATATCCAATGGACACCACAGTACAAATCTATGGGACTCCCGTCCGTCCGGCTCAGCTGAGAAGAGTGCCGTCAAATGCTCCACCCTACGTACGTTACGTCTATGTGTGACTTCGTCAGGGGGCTGGGACCAGGATCACACCTATGCCTTAAAGCCCAAGTGACCGCTCAGGTAACATGAGCTAATACATTCCAGATACATAAAACTAAAGGCCTGCAAAGTATTGCAGATGGTTTTCTTTAAGAAATCAGCCACAGCCTGAGAGGAAAGGCCTGCGGTATGCTGCAGAGTGGAACCCTTGTTCTATGGGAAAGCATTGGTCTTTCTGCAGAGATCTGACATGCCCCCCTGCTGACCCAGAGCCAGAACTCTCCAATCAGCAGGGAACATGAGATTTGCAGAGTTATAGGTGTGACTCAGTGGGGGGCGTTTTGGACCACTGCCTCCTTACAGAAAGCAAATTACCCAATTTGCTGCATGCTGGCAGAGGGCAGGTTTTTCTACTTGGGCTGTGGTTGCTTTAGAAAGAAAATGAACTGTAAGACATTGAACACCTTTTTTTTTCCAAAATATTTTATTTAGGTTTAAACAAGGTCACCATGTGACCGTAAGAATACAGTACATTACGTGTATTTGTTCTCTTTTTTTTTTTTTTTTAGCCTTTCTCACACCTCCGGTGATCCGAGCGAGAGCGATCGCCGGTTTGGGCTACAAATTTATCCATCCGATGCCCTGATCAGTGCTGTGCGATAGAGAAGCCTGATCGGTGGTGTCGGGGAGCAGCAAATAGATTTTATAGGCTTGTGGTGGTCCCGAGTAGCCGGAGCACGTTACATGTGCAGCCGATGAGGTGGGCGCCGGAACCGGAAGTCCCTTTTTTTTTTTTTAGATTTAAACTAAAGGTTCAGTTGAACTTACTTTTTACTGGGAACGTATACAAACTACCTCAAATATAGATGCAGATATATTTAATAACATGGTTGGTTACTTTGTGATGTCTGCTCATAATATGTAAAATGTATTAAAGATACAGTTGAAATGCATACTGATCTCTATAATCTTGGGAGGGGACATTTTTTTCTTCCAGATTTAGTTTGGGTTAAGGTCTTTATATTTTTTGCAAAATATTGCCAAGTAGTCTTTCCTTTCAATAAGTTTCTTTTTTTTTTGTTTAATTCCAGGATGAAAGTAAAAAAGCTGCCTATGATTTTAGCTCTTCACCTAAAGAGGTTTAAATACATGGATCAGCTGCATCGATATACAAAACTCTCATACAGAGTAGTCTTTCCTTTAGAGCTTCGGCTGTTTAACACATCAGGAGATGCCACCAATCCAGACAGAATGTACGATTTGGTAGCTGTGGTAGTCCACTGTGGAAGGTAGGTACACTCATAGCATGGACACATTGTAAGGATTTTGCCACACGGGTCAAACTTTATGTTGGTGCTCACCTGAGAGCCTGTTGTTGCAAAGTCTTATTGATGCATCTTACTTTCATTATTACACATTTCTATGTAAGATGTGCATTCTGAAAACCGAACCAAAAATGCAGCAAGTGGAATTTTGTAAAAAACGCATTCTGTAAACTGCAATGTTTAAAAATATCCGAACACAAGTTCCAAATTTTAAAGCGACACTAAACTTAGGAGGTCATTCTTAAAAATGTATTCAAGTACCTTAACTGTTGGCAGAAATGGAAGGACAGTGCCAGCACCAATTCAGAGATGATTTGAGGATCTACAGCCGAGTGATACACAAATAAGATACATTTTTGTTAATAGTGAAGGTACTTGAATACATATTTAAGATTTAACTCCTCAGTGTAGTGTCACTTTAAATATATGAAATAAGAATTCAAAATGTACACATAGAGTTCAGTGTCACTATTAGCTTTTGTGTTAAAAAATGTTTTAAAGCATTGGTTTTTAATAAAATATTCGGGTGATTATGGTCCTTCTTCAGTCCTGTTATGGGATGACAACTATTCCCAATTGTGATTCTGTTTTGCCACCTAAATATTTGCTCCTGATGGCGACTACAACACACATTGCCCAAGTATGGTCTACTGTTGTCACCATCAGGATGCTGCTCCAGAGCAATGAAGTGCAAATGATGCTGGAGTGAGTGGATGGAGATGGCTAAAGATCAGTTGCAGAAAGGGGTGAAAAAAGATGAACACAGTGTTTTATATTAAAAAAAAGGCCATGGCAACTGTTTCTTACACAGTGCATCCATGTAGAGTTTAGATCTACTTTTAAGTACATTGCTCACAGTGAACTCCAGTGGTGGCTAGAATTGTGGCCCACATAGTCAGATTTTGCCTTTTAAGAAATATTTGGTTGGCTAGTAACTGCATCAGTTTTGCAGCAAATCTCTAAAGATCTTTTGCCAATTGTGTTCTGATATCCAGAAAAGGTTGAGTTCCACAGTTTGGAGTTTGTTGAGTAACTACCCCTATCCTCCCACTCATGCACAGATTGCTCTGTAGCATTCCTTGTCACTTACATTTGAACCACAGTAGTTACCCGGGTCATCCCACATTATTGATACAGTTGAATATCTAGAGGTGGTTTCATGTTATACTCCAGGCTAATCTGGGATGAGGAATTCACATAAGCTCCATTATATGTAAAATTACTCTGAAAAATACATGAATCCTGTTCTGTTTTATGACATAGTAACATGTTTCTTTGTTGTCTTTTTGTACAGTGGTCCCAACAGAGGACATTATATTGCAATAGTGAAGAGTCATGATTTTTGGCTGTTGTTTGATGATGACATTGTAGAGGTAAGTTACTTTCTATAAGTGGTTAGGAGATGTAATAATTACCAGCCGGAAACGTGTTATGGAGGTACAGCCTGGAATGATGCATGATGAAGATATGGTGGAATACCTTCCTAGGGGGGGGGGGTGTTTACAGGGAGCTGCTGTATGATTTAGTGGGGTGGCTGTTCTGAAGCTCAAGGTAAGCTTGATGATGGCTGGTAGGAGAAGCAGAGGGTTGGTGTAGTTTGAGATGCAGTGAATCAGTGCAGGCTGGTATGAGACATTGTGCAGGGAGGTATTAGATGTGGTGGGTCTGTGCCAGCTGTTATTAGGCACGGTGGATTGATACAAGTTTGTATGACTGGCAGTGGAAATGATGCAGGCTGGAATGAGAGATTTTGGGTCAGTGCAGGAAAGTATTAGACTTGGTGGGTCTGTGATGGCTAGTGTAGGGCGCAGTGGGTCTGTGCCAGCTGGTATGAGGCATGGTGGGAATTTGCCAGCTGGTGTGAAATGTGGTGAGTCTCTGCCAGCTGGTATGAGGTGTGGTAGGTCAGTGCTACCCAGTATGAGACGCATTGCCTCAGGGGGGCAGTGCCAGCTGTTATGATGCACAGTGGGTCTGTGCTATCTTTTATGAAACTGAGGAGATTGGTACCAATCTGGTATGAGGTGTGGTGGGTCTGTGCCAGCTGGTATGAGGTGCTGTGGATTGGTGCAGGCTGCTATGAGGCTTGGTGAATGGATGCAGGCTGCTATGAGGAGCAGTGGCTCAGTGTTGGCTAGTATGAGGCACAGTGGGTCTGTGCTAGCTGGTATGAGGTGTGCTGTATTGATGTCAGCGGGTATGAGGTGCAGTGGATAGATGCAGGCTGGTATGAGGTGCAGTGGATAGATGCAGGCTGGTATGAGGTGCAGTGGATAGATGCAGGCTGGTATGAGGTGCAGTGGATAGATTGCTGGCTAGTATGAGGCACAGTGGGTCATGTATGCTTAAGCTTACCCACATTTTTGTCTGTATATTTCTTCTCATTTGTGTGTAGAAAATTGATGCACAAGCTATTGAAGAATTCTATGGGTTAACATCGGACATCTCCAAGAACTCTGAATCTGGATATATCCTCTTCTACCAGTCTCGAGACTGAGCGAGAACTGTCACAAAGACATACATTCTGCCTCATTTCTTCTCTGGACAATTGGAGCAAGGAGAAAGCACTGATACATATATGTCTATATATAACTTTAAATATATAGATGTATATATAGATATAAATATAAAAACTACAGAAAGGGGAAAAAAGTTTTTTTTAAAAACCGCGAACAGTGGATAGATGCAGGCTGGTATGAGGTGCAGTGGATAGATGCAGGCTGGTATGAGGTGCAGTGGATAGATTGCTGGCTAGTATGAGGCACAGTGGGTCATGTATGCTTAAGCTTACCCACATTTTTGTCTGTATATTTCTTCTCATTTGTGTGTAGAAAATTGATGCACAAGCTATTGAAGAATTCTATGGGTTAACATCGGACATCTCCAAGAACTCTGAATCTGGATATATCCTCTTCTACCAGTCTCGAGACTGAGCGAGAACTGTCACAAAGACATACATTCTGCCTCATTTCTTCTCTGGACAATTGGAGCAAGGAGAAAGCACTGATACATATATGTCTATATATAACTTTAAATATATAGATGTATATATAGATATAAATATAAAAACTACAGAAAGGGGAAAAAAGTTTTTTTTAAAAACCGCGAGAGCTCAGGGGGGCATTAGCGCAGTTTGCACACGCCGAAGCAAAGAACACGGATCGAGCAGACAGATACTCATATCATAAAAATTGATTTGCTCTCAGGTATCACGCTCACCATTATAGTCCCATCACTACTGCTACCACAGCTAACCATGAACAGAAATGGTCATTCCTATTGGTGGATCACATTTTGCAGTGATTAATGCTATTCTAGTCGTCTTTTAGCTAGCTATTAAAGCCACTCTTGAAATGCATCGGATTCTTTTCACACTGATCACCCCACACAGCCAAGCAGACCTGAAAAGGAAAATGTTTGCAAATCTAAATAAACCGAAGTCGCTGTAAAAATACTAAAATAGAAAAATATATATATTTATATATTTGCCCCCAACAACCGCAATTGCCTTTCTTGGAGTGAACAGAAAGACCTATTTGAAGCTTTCCGTCGATTGGATGCCTGGAGAAGCTTACAGTCACAGATGACCAGATTGGGAACAATGCACAAAGTTTGTTATGCCCCCTGTTATTTTGGGGAGATGGCAGCTTAACTGTGGAAAATTCTTTAAAATGTTTGCTGTTGTCGTGCCTGTTTCCGGCACAGAATTATGTGAGGTCATTCATTCAATCCGTTAGGTAGAAAGTTTTAAAGCACGGAGATGAAAAGATATCTGTGAACATGTAATACACATAGGGAAGCATTTACAAAGACTGGGGCTGAGTTAGCCAGGGGCCTCTACAGAGCAAATCTAAAGGATTTGATTCATTTTTCTGCACCCGTATGCCTGGAAATCCATCCGCAGCATTTCACCAATATTTGTCATAATTGTATTGCTTTGCAGTATTGTCTGCACTTGGTTAGTAGTATGCGTCAGACTGAAGCAAAACTATTTCTGAACTCTAGGTTGGGAGTGATCTCCAAAAGAAGCTTATGATAAATCCCACAGTGCTCTCTTGTACTAGATTCCCCTGTTTCCGTCTTTGTAAATCACTTCCACACACACGCTCCCCAAGCGCTTTTATCTAGAAGTGCTCAGAAAACTTCCTAAACTGCAGAAAAAAAGGGCAGGTAGGTTAGGGCAGAGGTCATATAATATATAGTAGTTTTAGTGTTGCAGTCTGGAAAGGTATTTCTGTTATTAGATTCCATAACTTTTACTTTTAGCACAATTCTGTTGTTCACTAAATATATTATGATATTGTTAATTTATTAGTCAGAAAATGTCAGCCGTTGTGACAACAAAGAAACAAAATAAAACTGTCATGTGCAACAAAATATAGAATATATAGAATTATATATATAATGGGAATTTCTGTGTGGATATTGTATAGAATGTAACAAAGACAAAAGAGATTTCTTACAGGTGGTCATACACAGACAGAATTGTAATTAATGTGACAGATCTTTTGATGTGTGGCCGTCATCTACACAGACGCTGATTGGCAGCTTAGGCAAAGCTGAGTTCTTCCTAGCGGTGAGCAAATCCTTGGATTTGACAGGTTGTTAATTGTACAATTACTAATTGAATATCTAGATTTTGTTCACAAGGTATGACTACCCTGATTCCCAGCACAATTTGAGGTTTGCCCCATATAGCATGATTTAAAATGACACTAAACTCAGGAGTTAAACCTTAAAAATGCATTCAAGTAACTTACCTATTAACAAAAATGTATCTTATTTGTGTATCCCTCGGCTGTAGATTCTCTGAACTGGTGCCGACACTGTCCTTCCTTCTGGAGGGGGGTACTTTTGTTCCTCATGGTCCCTGTGTGTGTTGTAAAGAAGTCACCACTCCAAGGTCACTCCTATGATGGACTACAATCTCAAATTCAAATTTGCAAACTAAACATGAGATTGTAGTCCATCACATGAACGAGCTTGGAGCGGTGACTACTTTACAACACACACAGGGACAGTGTCGGCACCAATTCAGAGATGATTTGAGGATCTACAGCTGAGTGATACACAGATAAGGAGCAGGATTGGTAATAGGGTAATCAAATGCATTTTTAACATTTAACTCCTGAGTTTAGTGCAAATTAGCATGTGGATCGGTGTTATAACATTTCAAAGATCTATCAGCAGTTTACCTTCTACTTTCTTTTCTTATTTCAATTATTATTTTCTGTGGAGACACTTCTTAAGTTGTATCTCCTGGCAGCTAAAATAATAATATAGGCTTTTTCTAAAAATTGAAGGCCAAATATTCAAATTTGACATGGGCCCAGTTATAACTGCTTTTCTTTAAGGTAACGACCATCAAATCCCAGGCACTGGCTCACTAGAATTATTAGTACCTGGATCTTGTTGTCTCTCCTTGGCAGGTTTTAGTTATATTGTTTCCTACTGCCTGCTAAAGTAGAATATAGAAGAAGAAAAATCAGTTTCTGTAACATTCACTCGATTTTCTAATAGTTAATGTTGTCAAAGCAAAAACTGTTTTCAACCATAGCAATGAGAACTGTGGATGTAATTTTCGTTTAGGGGAATTTCTTTCATTGCAAAATCAAATGTTAAAGTCAAATTCATCAAATTTCGTTTTTGGAACCACGTTCGTAAAGTCTCTGATGGCATTATTGAATGTTCTGACGAGATTTTTCATATGAACTCTTCTTATGAAGATCTACCAGTATAAGGCCAGCTTATCCATTTCGTCTAACTGCAAAGTTCTTTCTGATTGCACAGATAGACTTGACTGCTCTTCCAACACTTGGTAGACATACAACTTGTGACAGCAAAGCAAACATGGCTCAGGTGCTAATATTCACTGGTAGGAATTGGCACAGATATTTGCTGAGCCTCTTGAGTCTGTCACATGGGCAAAAAATATTAGACGGCTTATGGCCATCTCTATAGGGTTCATAAATGTGTGCTGCATAGCGGATAGTATAACAATGTACTAATGTAATCTTAATTATTGAACTCTTCAGACACTGGTGGGAGGGCAAGATGGGGACTGTGTAATCTGGTTTTGCTGCAACGTGTGGAACTCATACATGTCATCTCTGTATCTCTGGAGTGTACACAAGTCTGGAGCATGCTGGGAATGTTCTCTAAAATTTGTGACTGCCAGGCACCTTTATGCAGCGCATGTGTTGTTGTTTTCCTGCAATTGTTTCCTTTTACAGATTATGAAGAATAGCTTATAAATAATTTGCAGATTTTTATTTTCCTTTAAATAAGAGATATTATAGTAATGAGAGTGACTGCACCACGTAGAATCCAGAACTATAACATTTCAATGTACTTTTCTTTTTGGTGATCATCAACTTGTTAAATCATGACCCTTGTGTATTGTCTAGCCGTGTCTGAATGTAACTTACCCGAAAAGTGGGTGAATGTGTATCTCTCAAGCTTTCATATACCGCTTACCATTCCTTTTTTTATCATGGTGTGATAAGACTTTAAGGGAGAACTCTTATGTGGTGGGTTTGAGTGGAGGGGGATGAGGCGGGTCAGGTGTAGACTATTAGTATGCTCTTCAGAGGTTTGGCAACCTGTATTTAATTTTGTTGTAGGATTACAGAAATGTCCTAATTTTTTTTTTTTTTTTTTTTTATTTTTTTTGTGATGCTGACACTAAGATACACTCCAGCCAAAAGTAAATAAAAATACCTTAAGATGCGTAAAGCTTACCTGCTCTATACCTTAGCTTTTCATTCAGGCATTGTTGTATTGTACCTGTCCACCCTAGTCCCTGGAAATCTAGTAATCTGACTTTTTGAGGTTTTGGGACACCCTACTTGCTGACCACATTGTGAAGTAAAACTCATATTAAGATTCAAACCTGCCTTGGATATCTGAACATGGTTGGTGAAGTAGGGAGGGAGGCTGGTACACAGCACAGCCTTCTCTATTGCCCAACTGCCCATGTCAGGTGGTCTATGTGTGCTGTGTCTAAAGTGGTTTACAGATTCAATTGAATTTAGACAATTTGTTTTAGTCACATCTGCAGCATGCTGGAATGCATTACTAGTCCACTGAATGGTTTCACTTGTTCTCTGGACGTGATCAATAAAATCATTCCAGATACTTTTTTTTTTGTTAAAAAACAAAAATCACAATGACAAGCTGAGGCTTCATCCCTCACTGCGTGCATAAACCTGTCACTGGTTACCTGTGTACCTGTGATTGGTTGAGTTGCACAAAGATCCAACCAGACAATAAAGATCAGCAATTACTGCCTAAGAACAGAGCACAAAGTAGTGACTCAAATCCAGGTAGCTGTACATTACAACGGTAAGGGGCATATTTTAATTGCACTGAATGATTGATTTTTCTATTTTCAAATATTAAATCCTGAATTTTACCAGTGATTCCCTATTAATGCCTATAAAAGACTTGCCTTGCTTGGCAACAGGCTGTCCTTGCTCTGCCGCCTGTGAGATTTTTCCCTAAAATCCGCATGTATTGTCATTCATCCAATGCTGCACATTTATGTATCCTGTGAATGGTCAATGGCAAGTTGTCGAATGAGGATGAATTTGTCCTTTTTTTTTTACTAGTGCTTCCCACAATTTCAACATGCAGTTCTCTGATTGAAGGTTTTGGAATATTGCAACATTGCACTCTGGAATACAGGCAATCCCTGATGGCTGTATTACTGGAAACCAGGATCAGTTTTAGAGCAGGCCAGCCTGGTACAGAATCAACATTGGAATACAAATTATAGGCAAAGGGCAGGGAACCCTGTGGAGCTTTTTAAGGGGAAATTATCAGAACTGGAGCAGACAAAATCTGGAGCAGCTGTGCATGGCAACCAATCAGCTTCTCTCTTCAGTTTGTTCAGTAAAGAATTGAAAATTAAAGAGAGAAGCTGATTGGTTGCCGTGCACAGCTGCTCCAAATTTTGTCTGCTCCAGTCTTGATAAATTCCCTTCTTTACGTTTGGCTGTGGAGTGCTGTAAAAATCTAAATTATTATGTGGATTGCAATAAGTAAATATTAAGTCTGTGCCCTTGTTCTCATTGGCCAATACCACTTACCAGTACAAACCAATGAGGTCTATGTACCTTCAGATGACATTTATAATGTTGGCATCTAGCAAGCAGGGGAAGAGCAAAGGAAAACTATTTCCGAAGCCTGAAGGCCACCGTTGCTGACCTCCTCCTGAAAATTCTGGTTGCCTGCATGGTTCTGGCCTAGCATAAGCATGCAGTTGTTGAGAGTGATGAGGCAGTGAAAATGTTAAAGCAATTGAATCAGCTTGACAGCCGAGCGACTAATATTTTCAGGGAGGTCAGCAATGGCAGCCGGGTGGGAGCATGCGGGTGAACAATATTACAAAGCTAACCTTCCACTCACACCATTGAATGGAGTTCTTATTTAGTACATAGCTTTTGAATGAATGTTTTGTAAATACTTATTGGGCTGCCCTATGTGAAACTAAAAGGCTGTATTTACTAAAGGAAACATTTCTATCGTAAGATACAGTCAAGTCAGTTTGCTGTTATTTAGTCCATATGACTGGATAGTAAGTATAGGTCACTGCTGCTAATCTCATGCTTTATAACCACGGAACACTTGTATTGGCTCAGGAAGCAGCCTTGTAGATTTCTGGTCCGATAATTCACATCGATTTGTTTGTCACGTTTGGCCCCTTTAACACTTAACAATAGGACATCAACCCGCTGATTGCAGTCCTGTTACGGCTGAGACAATCTGTTATGTACAATTAGTGGTATAGTCTATGCATGTGTGGAAACATGTACAACCTTGGCTTTACTGCTTTCTTTCTCCAAATGTTTATTTTATAGCAGCACCCTTCCCTCAATGAGAAATATGTGATTCTTATGACCTACCTTTAGAAAAGGGTTGTAAAATGGGAACTTTGAATATACTCATGTTCTGAATTACACTTACTGCGGAGGGAAAGCAACTTAAAGTGAAAGTTCCATGCCAATTTCAGGTCAGTGAAGCTCCTGCTTATCATCACCGGCACTGTCTGGGAACTAGTATGAAACTTGCAAGTCAAACACCTCCTCCAAAAGACCAGTGCTAGCTTAGAAGTTGATGCCCTTTGTTAAAGTGACACTAAACGCAGGAGTTAAATGTTAAAATACATTCAGATGCCTTATTAACAGAAATGTATCTTATTTGTGTATCACTCGGCTGTAGATCATCAAATCATCTCTGAATTGGTGCTGACACTGTCCTTCCTTCTGGAGGGTGACTACTTTTGTTCCCCATGGTCCCTGTGTGTGTTGTAAAGTAGTCACCGCTCCAAGCTCACGCTCGTGATGGACTACAATCTCAATACAAATTTGTAAACTAAACATGAGATTGTAGTCCATCACAGGAGTGAGCTTGGAGTGGTGGCTACTATACAAACACACACAGCGACCATGGGGAGCAGAAGTAGTCACCCTCCAGAAGGAAGGACAGTATCAGCACCAATTCAGAGATGATTTGAGGATTACAGATGAGTGATACACCCAGAAGATACATTTCTGTTCATTTGTAAGATACTTGAATGTATTTTAAGATTTATCTCGAGTTTAGTGTCGCTTTAAAACAGAACAGTAATTTTGAAGACCATAAGAACTGTGTTCTGCTGAAATATATCAGATTTGATGCTGTCAATAACTTGTTGCAGATTTTGCTTTAAAGCCCAAATTAAACTTTCACTTTAAATAAGCTAAACACATTCCTGATGTATAAAGACAAAAGGTGTTCAAATGTTTATAGTTTCCTTTGAAAGCAGTCACAGCCGTGTAGCCTGTTCACAGTTACATAGTATTTGAGGTTGAATAAAGACATCAGTCCATCAAGTCCAAGCTATTTGTGTGTATGCATTTATGTTGGAGCAGGTGTTTGCGTGTGTATTAGTCCATGTATGATTTTGCTCTTATGCGTACCTGTACCCCTGTATGTCATGGTCTCCGAGGAACTCGTCCAGGAGTTTCTTGAATGATTCCACACTCTTAGCTGAGATCACTTCCTGCGGCAGCAAGTTCCAGACCTGTTCAGTGCCAGTATTCTGTAGAAAAGGACCCCTATTCTTTGTGTGAAAACAGTGGTCTCTCTGAAGAAGTTAGAGCATGAACGTTGCAGATTGCATTACTGTAGGTCTGCGTTTGCAGGAGTCTGTAGGGACACCGCTGCTTTTCAGTAGAGCAAGGGTCCTTTTCTGCAGAATGCTGGCACCAGACAGGCTTTGCTACTCAGACTGTGACTGCTTTCTAAAAAAACAATTGCAAGCCTTTGCTCATGTTTTGATGCATTTGGAATGTATTTAGCTGAGAGTTCTCTTTAATATACAGCAAGTTGTGTATTGGATATTTAAGCTGCTTGTGAGTTGAGGTAAAACAGTGTGGGAGCCACTAGGAAGATCTCGTCCCAGGGCTTCATGCATTTGTGTCCTAACACCACTGAAGAAGAGTGAAGAACGGTTTCATTTTTGCTGTTGCTATATTGGTTCAATAATAGTTTTTTCCTCTTCTGCAGATGTCTATTGTCATGTATGGAAAGGTTTCCATAACATTTCAGACAGTTACAAATTTAAAGTTAGTTTAGATTTCCTAAAACGCTTTTCTCTTGGGATCATTATACCCATAATGCAATGCAGTTGTCTTTTTCCAGATGGCCACCTGAACCAATAATGTTCAGCCTAACCCTCCTCTATCATGTTAACTGACAATATTGTTTGTGTAGTTTTATTTATAACATTTTAGGAGAAGAAAGAAAAAAAAAAAGCCAAGGTGTATAGTCAACAGTGAAAGTACACATTTATTTTTGCTAAGTGTGTGAAATATGTGTCCATAGGATTATAATTTGTTTTTTTTTTCTTCACGTTTGCGACCCATTTCATAAATTGTGTATTTTTTGTATGAATATATGAGGTGATGGTTCTGAATAAGTTAATTTTTACTTCTAGTGCAGCTGAAAAATAATACAATTCTTGAATTATTTGTCAGAATTTAGCAATTTATTAAAAAAAAAATTAAATAAATTATATTAACCAACCAAAATGACCAACATATGAAACATATAAATATTTTTTAGGGGTATTCAAAACGGGGAATTTGTCAGTTGTAAATAGTGGAACTGATTGCTGTGTGACTATATAATTGTTGATTTGAACAGCAGTTCATTATTTTGTATATTGGAAACAAGAATTTTATTAAATAATGTATGTTATTTGTTAACATACTAGATGTATTAAACAACTTATAAATTATAAAACGTTGCACTTTTGATACAGATTTATAGATGTTTGGCGGGTGTATTAAAGGGCTTGCTTGAAATAACCTGATGTGTTATGATTTCCTGTTCTAAAGAAATAAAAGTGTAAGCAACACAGTATTCTGTCTCTGTCTTATCTGAGTCACTGCGACTCAATCAGTTGGATGTTTACATTAGTGAAAAATATGACGCTAAAAATGGCACATCACTTTAATGTGATAATAAAGTCAAGAGGTTTTTAAGCTATTTCAAATGCTGATTCAATTACTTAACCAGTTGAAACTGAGGTGAGTGATTTTCACTCATCCTCATAGTTTGAGCCGACGTGTGACAATGAAACAGTCACACGTCAGCTCACCAGATCGGGAAGTGAGCCAACACACACCGTCGCTCGCTCACTTTTCGATCATGTCCCTGCAGAGAGTGGTGACTATCACTCATGGCTCCCTACAGGGATTCCCCCCCTGCCCTGTCCGATCCTGCAGCACTGACTGGCGGAATGGACGGGGGAGCTCTAGATAGGCAGAGCCAGCTGTCAATCACGCAGCTGGGTGGTTCCAGACAGTAATGTTGGGATCCGTCCCGGCTGCAGCAGTCTCAGTATACCGCGAGCTGTAGCTCACGGTATACTGAGCTTTGGATGACGGGTGGACGCTAGTTTATGTCCTCCCATGACCCTGGGGAGAACTATGGGGAAAAGCCCTAACCCCATAGTTTTCCTTTAATGGATGCTGCTCCTTAATGTTTAAAAGTTTGTTTCCTGCATAATCAGCTGCTCCCCTGATCACTGGTCCTGATATCCTGTTTTAGGGGGGCTCCTTTCCCTTGCAGGGTCCTATGGAACCAGCCTTGTGTGTGCTAGTAAGCTGTGTGTGTCTCTACAACACACAGGCCACAGCAAGGCAAACCACTCCTCTGCTCCCCACTCCTTTCTCCAAGCTAGTAGATGGAAAGCTGCTGCAGACTGCTCTCTCCTTTCATCTTATACTGGACATGAAGTTCAGGGAAGCTGAGCTGAGAGAGTTAGAGTTGTTCAGAAACATGATGATTGTAAGTGATTGGGCAAAAATGTAAAGAAATACTTTGCTGGTTAATGTTTATTTCTTTGATCTGGATTTGTTATTGGGAAAAAAAGGTTGAGAATGTAATATTACTTTAAAGCATATCATTATCCAAACATGAAAATCTCTTGCAAGGTTTAACATGATAATGTGATTCCAAAAGTTGTTTTCAAATATTTTAAATCTGTGGCTTTCATTCAACTTATACCTGGTGATCCTGTCATGAAGGGACGTGTTTAGGCATTTCCTGTTCTGGGGTGACACCTGCCAGCTGTCAGGAGGAAAATTACCCTTTGACTTGCATCTGTTCAGGCACTTCCTGTTATATTGTCTCCCATTTTTGTGCTCCTGTATTGTCACCATGTCACATGTGCCCTGATGAAGACTACTGGCTGCGCCAGCACACATTGCGTTGGCGTGGTCCATTGCTGTCACAATTAGAAAACTAGTGCAGAAGAATAATCAGCCAGTGGATGTAGACAGGGAGTGACTGAAAGAGGCTAGAGGAGATCAGGGATGAAAAGAAGGTGGAAATAGTATTTTGAAAAAAAAAAAGCAACACATTAGAAGTCACAGTATATTAAAGAACGCATGTCGACGCATGTTTTTCCAAGCGTTATGGCGTTTTGAGGCTTTTGTCTTTTATTTGGTCCCCAATGTTTTTTTGCAGGGGAAGACTAGCTCTTGCACTACAAAGCACTCAAAAAAGTAGCCATGTACTTTTTCCAGTGACAGGAATTTTGTTAGACAACATAATGCTTAAGTGTGAACAGGAGCCATAGAAAACAATGGGATTCCTTGTGCTCAGCATTTTGTAGCTCTGAGCTTTGCACTACAAAACGCCTAAATGTGAACAGGGATGTAGGCTCCATTCTCACTTAGCATCAGTGTTTCAGTTTTGTTTACGCATATTCATGCACATTTGTCAAGCGTTTTCCAAGCATTTTTCAGCTTCTGCTGTCCACCATTTTGTTCTCCAGTGTTTCTTGCGCAACATACACGTGACAAAACACTCAAAGCAGTGTGCAAATGCTTGTGTTGTGTGTTTCCATTGAAGTCTATGGGGCCAAAAGTGCAGAAAGCTGAGGAAAAGTAGCTCATGTATTTTTTTCAGTGACAGGCGTTTTGCTACAGGCGACATTAAGCTCAGGTGTGAACGGGAGTCATAGAAAATAATGGGATTTCTTATGTTCAGATGTGACCGGGGACCTTTAGGCAAGTTTAGCTTCTCCTTTGTACATATAGAATGATACATTAAACATACAAGAGGTTAATACGTGATGCACTGTTTTGATTTACACCATACTGATCTCTTTGATGTCTAGATCTACAAAAGAACTGTAAAGCCCATGCGTTTCCTGTCAGGGCCAATTTTTTAGGGTTGGGTTTAAGTAGTTAAACCCTCCCCTGTCTTTACATGACAGTATTCATACCTAACACAGAAATGTGCACGATAACATTTCTCTTGTACAAAACATGTCTCCTGTCGCTTACAATTTGTTGTGATAACCACTCGCTCCTTCTCAATCAGCACTGCTTCCCCAAGCTACCGGCCACGGAGCATGCACAGTAGATGGTACATGACTACACTCACAATGATCCAATCCACAATTCAGATGCATTGCATGTTATTACACTGCCAATTGATTCCCTTGGATGAGGACTGGTCTGAATTCCTGGGCTGCAGAGCTGCTTGTTGACATTGCCACATGTACCATTGGCAAATTGAAGAGAAGTGCCAGGCTGTAAACAGAAGTCAGACATCAAACATTGTAGGTGCAGAAGGATGTTGCTATATATTGTGTTTTAAATGGAGGTTTAATGACACTTTAAAATTTAAAGGTTCAGGTAGTTGAATTGCAATCAGCCAGATTTGAAGTGTATTTCCACTTATGCAGCCAAATTGGGATAACACCTCCTTTATATTTGTTACATGTTCTGATTTACATTGCATAACTTAAAATAAAAAGGATTTCAAAATTGCTGCTTACATATTTACTTGCTGATAAATCTTAGCTTTCCCATTCTCTGTAATTTTAAGGAGGGTGCTGGGGAGTTATGTGTACCATAATTATCTCTGTCTGTACTGTGCTGGCAGATCTTCATTAGCAGTTGTGAATTAGATGTGGACAATGGCCATCCCCAAGACTTGGGAGGTACGTTGTACGCTAATGCACCTTTAACAAAACCTCCCTAATTGCCCATTACAAGCTATTAAAAACAATAGATGCTCCCTATGGGGTCCTGTGTATAAACCTGCTCCAAAGAAACCACTAGAAAGGTGAGAAATCATTTGTATTTATTTTTAGGTATGATTTGTGAATAGAAACACATAAACACACTTTCTAGAATTCAAAGTGACACTAAACTCAGGAGGTAAATCTTAAAATGCATTCAAGTACTTTTAACTTTGAACAAAAATGTATCTTATTTGTGTCACTCGGCTGTAGACCCTCAAATCATCTCTAGTACTTGAATGTATTTTTTTAGGTTTCACCCTTGAGTTTAGTGTCACTTTAACTTCAAAAGTGGAAAACTGTTTTTTGGAGTGGGAAAATTGTAAAACCTTCACCATCTGGGCAGATTTTCTCTCACTATCCTAGTAAATTCCACAAAATGAGAACTCACCCCATGAATGACACAAACAGTGATACAAATCTTGCAGGAGTTAGAACGGTCCGGTGCGAGCAAAATAGTACTTGGCAGCATTTTGACCACAGGCATAATGTGCCTTGCGATCCCGTGCGGCCGTTCGCATTGTGGCCAGAGGGCGTGGCTACGGTGCCATTCACTTCAATGGCCCACCACACCCCCTGCTGCCCCACAAAAAAAGTGAGCCGGCCGCAATGCGAGGCTGTGCGTTCTGCCCAGAATCGGGCCGAAACGCACTGCATCTGGTGTGAAGGAGGCCTTTTAGTGATTTTAATATGAAAAAGTTTAATAGAAGAAATCAAACATCAAAATAGTGAAAGTTCATATTCCATCTTCCCATTAAAAACCAACGTTGTCCACAACCATTCACAATCCCACACATACAGACAGCACCGCACACTTCCCAAATAATGGAAAATCACTGTTGCTGGATCTATCTGTTACTGACTCTGTGGAGGTCATGGAGGGTTTAGATGGTGAGGGCCCTATCACACCATCAAGAGTGCGTTCCAGCGCGTTCAGCCTCTGGAACGCACTGGAAGGCAACCTGGCCGGCTCACTTTGTTTTGGGGCAGGAGGGGGCATGCTTGCAGCGTTTTTGGCAGATCGTATTGGACCGGAACGCAGGCAGTAATGTGCCACGCATTCGGGAACATATTCTTGATGGTGTGACTGGGCCCTTAATGAGGACAGCAGAAAGTCCACGGACACCAATCTCTGTCTTATTTAACCTAAAATGTAATTCCAGACAAATGGAAATTCCTGACTTAGTTGTACTGATCCCTTCCTCCTAGGTAGAGTATAATACAGTAATACCTTGGTTTACAAGTAACTTGGTTTGAGAGCGTTTTGCAAGACAATCAAACATTTCTGAAAATGTTGCCTTGATATACAAGCAATGTCTTGCAATAAGAGCAAAATTTTGTAGAAAAGCGCCACCCGAATAAGGCTGTAGCAGTGCGAGCGATGAGTCTGTTTAACGACAATGCAATGTCACATTGGATAGATTCCTTGTTAAGGTTTCACGAAATGAAAAAGATCCCATTGAGTCAAGAGATAGCAGTGATTCCGTTAGTGATAGTGAAAGTCGTCCTGCACAATAATCCTCCTCTCTCTTGTCCCCCTCACACCAGCCACGAAGGTACCGGTAATTGGTTTATTTTTCTTTATATTTTGTACAGTATTATATTACAGTATTATAATCATTTTTATATGAATATTTTTGGGTTGTGGAACAAATCATCTGAAGTTCCATTATTTCCTATGGGGAAGTTTGCTTTGATATACAAGCGCTTTGGATTACAAGCATGCTTCCGGAACTAATTATGCTCTTAAACCAAGGTATTACTGTACATCCAAAAGTCTTCAGCGATATCCACCGGTGTCATTACTCGCACTCTGAGGAGACCAACATTGGTGGATATCGCTGAAGACTTTTGGATGTACTATACTCTACCTGGAGGAAGGGATCAGTACAACTAAGTCAGGAATTTCCATTTGTCTAAGGAATTACATCTTAGGTTAAATAAGACAGAGATTGGTGTCCATGGACTTTCTGCTGTCCTCATTAACCCTCTAAACCCTCCACAGAGTCAGTGATGGATCCAGCAACAGTGATTTTCCATTATTTAGCAAGTGTGCGGGGCTGTCTGTATGAGTGGGAGTGTGAATGGTTTTGGACAACGTTGTCAAATGTTTTTAATGGGAAGATGCAATCTGATGATTCACTTTTTTGATGTTTGATTTTTTTCAAATAAACTTTTTCATATAAAATACCTGTACACCCCCACATATCACCGGGGGCTGGCGCACAATTTTGTTCTGCCCCGGGCGCCCGTTACTCTGGTTACGCCACTGCCAACCGTGCACATAAAGGCTGGCGTTCCATTGTTCCTGACCTTTTTAAATCAGTCCTATAGGACCCAGAAAACCAACCTCAACTTCAGTGTGCAGTTTTACCGCTGGTTAATGTGCTTCCTAAGGACCTATGAAATATTTTGTAAAGTATAAAACAATTTTTTCTTTTCAGCAATGACATACTTGGAATTCTGAGAGAGCACAATATAAACATTGGCTCAGAGCTCCATGTGTAATACCCTGTGTCAGAGGCGGGCAGGGGAAAGCCTAGAGTCTGTTTAGTCTGTTTAGCTCTAACATGCCATATAAGATCATAATAGGATTGACCCATTTTAATTGCCTCTTTACCTCAGCGCTCATGACTATGTTTTATGATTATCTCCTTTATAGTGTAAATCTGTGCAGAGTTCCTCATTGTTTCGCAGTGGTTCATTATGGTGACTGGTCCTTTTTATGAGCTCCTGGAACTTAGCTGTTCTTTTTAGTTCCCTCTGTGATCATTTCTCTTAAAGTTCTTTGAAGGAGCTCCAAGCTGTGAGCATTCTTACAAGAGGTCACTTGTGATTTCATCGTGAGCTTTCTGAGCTGATTCCTTAATAATGGACCTCAAATATTGAAGTGTCAGTCATTATTTCTCCACAGACACCAATAAGATTAAACATTGCAGATTCCAACTCTCCTTTTGCATGGCGGATGTGTATTTGCCTGAGGTTTTACATTGTGAAGTTTTCTATAGCACTCATTACAAATACAGCTGTATTTATGAGGATAAGAAAACGAATAGATGTGATACGGGGCTGTGTTCGGTCTCACCAGGGCTAGTGTGGGTAACTGATGCCATAGTACTGAAGAAGGTGATTCCAAGTGTCTTGTCACCATTCTTCTGCATTTTGTGGTAGCTTTCATTTACAGTATAGTGATCATAGACAGACAGTGCAGGCGGGAAACATATGTAACTCGAATTCCTGCCATGTCACCTTTCCTAAAGCTTAGAAACGTCATGTAATACAGTATAACAGATGTAATAGAACATATACAGGATTATTAAAGACATAGACCAAATGTAGTGAACCATGGAAGCCAATCACAATTAATCTTTGATCCCCCATTTCCTATTGTTTATAAGCAGCTCTCAGGCCACCAGCACTCAGGAAATGTTGTCAGCATACTTTGGATATCACAGCCTATCCCCAACACCCCCATTGGTTTCCAGAACAAAGATGGTCCTGGAAATTGATTGAAACAAGATGGTTTTTGGAGGGAGGTCCAAGGCAGCTTGCATTCTGGTAGCCTTGGAGATACTTGCCGGTGATCTGTGAAGGTTGTGAGCTGGAGTTCTCTGCCAATCAGTATTGGATGGGCAAGTGTAGAGATGTTCCACTATCCCACTGTAAATGGAAATCCTCTTAAACCTTGAGGAAAGGGTAAAAATAATTCAGATTGCTTGTAGTATAACAGTAACAATAATAATGCACGAGTCTAACACCAGTAAGAACAGTGGCTAGAGAAGGACTGGACAATATGCCTAAAGTAGGGATGTCCCAATATCATTTTTTTTCCAATACCAATTACAAGTCCTTTCCTCCAGGTACTTGCCGATACCAATTACCAATACTTTTTCTTATAGGCCATGTGACATGTTTTCTAAAACAATACAGACTAATGATTTTAGTGCAGTTTCTTTATAATTATGAAGAACTGTACCTCAATCCATGATTATTCAGCAATAGAGGACTACAGATCCCATCAATCCATGATTATTCAGCAATGCAGAACGGCAACCGGCTTTAGAGGACTACAAATCTCAGCAATCCATGATTATTCAGCATTGGATAATGGCAACCAGCAGTAGAGGACTACAGATCCCATCAATCCATGATTATTCAGCAATAGAGGACTACAGTTCCCATCAATCCATGTTTATTCAGCAATGCAGAATGGCAACCGGCTATAGAGGACTACAAATCTCAGCAATCCATGATTATTCAGCATTGGATAATGGCAACCAGCAGTAGAGGACTACAGATCCCATCAATCCATGATTAAACAGCAATTATACGGGGCTGTGTTCGCTCTCTCCAGGGCTGCATGTGGGTCTCTCCAGGGCTGTACAGGTGGGTGCCGGGTCTGAATGGATGGATGCCGGGCTCCAGAGCTGCACGAGCAGGTGTGGTGGCTGTCCAGTGATGTGCTGGTGTCTGCTGGGTGCCGGGAAGTAGGAGATGTGGGGCCGGACCGGAGCTGCCAAAGACAGCTGCTATGAGGTCCCCAGCAAGCATGGGACTTCAGGCAGCCACTCTTGATTAAAAATGTAATGGGCCAGTATCACCCTTTAGTGCAAGTACACATGACAATGCCCGGTATTGGGACATCACTAGCCCAAAGTGTATGTAAACCCAGAACTTTTCAATTTTTGATGGACACCGCAGGGTTAGAACTTCTGTCAAGTTTGTATTGCTGAACTCCTACTGGGAAGATTCACCATTGAGTTTGGTACAGAGAGTGATAGGAAATCCAAATGTTTTGAGTAGAGGTGCAGCGAAATGGAAATTTTAAAAACGAAACGGAAATTAACTTTAGTTTTTTTTATTTAATTCATTTTTTATTACATATGTTTATTTTTTACTTTACTTTTAGGGGTTTCGGGGAAATATTAGGGGTCTAAACAAGGAACAGAAATCCTCTGAGTGTCCCTGTTCATTGATTAAATGAGAACATTGTTTGTTTACTATAATCACAATTATGAATGAATGGGGGTGATGTAGATGTGATGTAGATGACTTCCATTCATTCATAATTGAGGATATACTGTAGTTAACATACCATGTCCTCAATGATGTACACACACTCTGCGATCACTGATCGCTGAGTGTGTACACCTTGCTTTTCTCTCTGACACGCTGTCACAGGAGGCTGATGGAGCGGTGTAGGGAGAAAAGCCCAGCCTCCTGTGACAGCGCTGTCTCCGCCCCCACACCGCTCTGCCGGACTGTGATAGACGGCTGAGCGGTGTGGGAGGAGAGATGCCGGCCGCTCACAGCGCTCTCGCCCTGCAGCGCTTGGCCGGCTGTCACTTTCTTTTCTCCCCGCTGGGACCCAGAGTAGCGCCCAGCGGGAAGAAAAGAAACCAGGGATGCGCCGATGTATCGGCCGAAACATAGCTCTTTCGGCATTATGCCAAAAGTGCAATTTTCGGCCGATATGCTTCGGTGCATCCCTAGTTTTGAGTTGTCAGGAACTTGAAGAGGGAAATCTTCCAATGGGGTATGTGTTCTGTTGACAGCTGCCAAAGAGGGAATATTACTTTGCTTTGGAGAGATTTTCTCTTACTTCCTGCTGTGTCTCTGTCAGAGAAAGGTAATGGAACTCTCCCCATTGGAACACAGACCGAAAACAAAAACCTGACTGGTTTACTTTTAACCATGCCCTACTATATCCAACCTTGCAGCTGGATGGCCGTTACAGCGCTCCCTCCAGCCCATCTCCTTCTCCTCTCCAGCGATGGTATCAGTGACGTGCCGTGCCTTCTGTGCTGGAGGAGGCATCCCCCAGCCCGCTGAAGTTCGCCCCATCCCACAGAAGCCCCGCCCCTAGCTCGGTAACCAAGCTGTGTAGGGAGGAGGAAGGGAGGAGCCCTCACATGCGAGTCACTGGTGAGGCATCGAGATCGATGTCCTCACTGTTTGTTTTTTTGTAATTGGAGAGCTTGGACTAATGGCGCTTAGTCATTGGTCCAAGCCATCCACAGAGCTCACGCCTCTAACACAGAGTAGAGGCTGTGCCAGCTCTTGCCTCACCAAGTTAGGTTACACAAGCAGTGGGGAATCCCGCTGCTGTGTAACCTAACTACCTGTCAAAAGCCAGATGCAGCTCCGCCTGTCATTAGCAGGCAGCGCTCCGTCCATGACAGGTTACACAGCGGGGAGGATTTCCCTGCTGTGTAACGTGTAACAAGCCGCTCTCAAAGGAGAAAAAGCGGTCAGCTTCACAGCTTCAGACTTAAAGCTGCCAGCTTTTTCCTCCATAATACTAGGTGAGGCTCTGCCTCCTCTGACTGCACATCCCTGGATGGTATGTCCCTCTGCGTCCTCACATCCAATACACAGTGTATTGGATGTGATGATTTACGGGACCTTACATGACTGGAGTGGGGGGGGGGACTGAAGGGACTAGGAGCCTGGCATCTCTGAGGATCATGTGAGTATAACTTTTATTTTTGCATCTAGACAAAACAAGCACTTTTTTCCCCGGAGTTCCTCTTGAACATAAAAATGAGCAAATAAAGAACAGACTATTAAAAATATGAAGGAGACATAAGAAGGAGAAAACAACAATGTACACCTATAAAAGAAAGTCTGCGCTTTTCTGATGCGGAATCTACTCTTATGTATAACTACTCAATCACCGAGCTGACCTGGCCTTACTAAATTGCACAGCCGGCTTGCCTACTTTGGCTGTGATTAGGCTTATCAGTGTTAGAAGTAATCTGCTTCTTTTCTTTTGCAAGGGAGCAGAAGTATAAACATATTTGGTACATCTCTCCCATTCATGCTCATTTGCCCATGTTTTATCCCTTTAGAAATACTGCAATTACATAACCTGATGAACTACCAGATATCCAGCCTGTAATATACTCTCTGCATACAAAATGTACTCTTACATGTTCATTGTGTGAACCTTAAAGAATTATAAAAAGGGATTTGTGACTAATGATAATCCTAAAGAGTCCTGTGCATGTGATGTGATCACTTCTAGACTGGAGACTTAACAGGGGTCAGCATCAACAGCAACCTCTCCAACTGACTATCCTGACTTTCCTGCTATCTGTCCGGATTTAGACATACTTTATATTAGCATCACTGACTCAAACTATTGACTCTCCAAAGTGCCAACGAGAGAGGTCGCCAGGGTGCTATAGATCCCATTACCTGTTAGGCTGGCCATACACCTTACAATTATCTGCAGACTTTCTGTGGTCAGATGGAAAGGTGTAACAGATTCCTCCATCTACGTTAAACTGTGTGGCTGGAGGAATCTCCCGCTGGGCCAAGCTTCAGTATCCTGCTAGTCGGCCCCGCTGGCTCTCAAAACACCTGAACAATGCCTGCAGCCAATCAGATTGATTAGGTATTTTGAGACCCAGCGGGACCGACTAGCAGGATAATGAAGCTTGACCCAAATGGGAGATTCCTCCAGCCACACAGTTTAGCGTAGATGGAGGAATCTGTTGCACTTTTTCCATCTGACCATAGAAAATCTGCAAATAATCTATAGGTCTATGGCCATACTCTGCTGCCACCACTGGCGGAACTACCAGGGTCGCAGCGGTCGCAATTGCGACCAGGCCCTGGCGTTCCGCCACTTGGGGGGGGGCACAGCGAGGAAGAAGAGGCCCCCCCGAGAGAGTGCCGCTCCTTCCCTGCCTGTTAGACTCACCTGGCCGCGTCCTCAGAGCGGCGTTCGGCTCCGCCCACTCCCTTGGCGTGACTCAGGTCCGCCGCAGCCGCCCCCATAAAGCCGGGAGATTTGAAATGCTCAGTGTCTTACCTAAAGCGCTGAGCATTTCCCGGCTGGCTACTGCTCTCACTACTACTCCGTCCTGTCCCTTGGCTATTAGCCTCCCGACATGGCAGTCTGCCTGTGTGATCTGCAGCCTGTCAGCTCCCCTGTCTGGAGACAGACATTCCCCAGTACTCTACATCACTCTGCATGCTACTCTGGGTGAAAGGGAAACAACAAGACCCTCTCGGCACTCTGGTGTGTGTGTGTGTGTGTGTAATGCTGGTGATATAGTGCTCACTTTTATTATAATGCATTGCTGGGACTTGTAGTCCTGCATAGCTGGTGGTATTCTGCATTGATGTATGGTGATTATACAACAATGGAGAATAGCTCCAAACATGTAGGACTACAAGTCCCAGCAATGCATTATATTTTTTAAGTAGGGATAAACCACTGCCAATACTGGGCATTTTCACAAGTACTCATACTCGTGAAAATGCCCCGATACTAAACGCAGATACCGGTGTTCTGTCAAGAACGCCGACGTAGTCGAATTTGCCGACCTCAGCATATGCGCTTGCACACAGACCAATATTTTCGAGGGAACCGGGATTTTTTCACAAAGTATTTTGTTTAAATTATTAATTGTGACCGTTAATAATATTCCACTATTTACTGACATGGACGGCATATTACTAACGGTCACGATCAACAATTGCGAATGAATACTTTGTAAATAAATGCCCGTTACCTCGTTAATCCCGTCTGTACATAAGCCCAGATACTGGGTCGGCGTTCTCGACAGAACACCGGCACTAAAATTTTAAACAAGCGGCTGCCCGAGGCCCTTGCTGCGGACCTCGGCAGCCTTATTTAGCAGGGACATCTAGCAAATATTCATGTAACTACAAAAACTCTATCCCTTGGCAGAGCTTGTCACTGTTTTTCTGTTTATTTTATTTTTGCTTTTAATGTGTCTAGGGACAGTATATTTGCTTTTTTATCATCGCTTTTACATACACACATTTATTTTATTGCCCACTGTTTATATTGCACAATCAGGTAAGATTGCAGAAGTTGGGCAAAAAAAATGTACCAACCACAAAGACACCACGACCTTGACTTATTTCCTTTACATATTTTATGACTTTGCCTTTTTGAAACAAAAGCTTAGCTTCTATTCTCATTAATGTAGTACAGCAGGGAATATGGATTATCGTTCCTACAAAGCCATTTGCGAGATTCGTTATAGTCTACAGATGTGTAAACACAACTCATGTCTGTCCTTTTGTAGAAAATATCCAGAACTTTATTCAGTGTTACGCAAGCAGGATTAGGAGATTCATCTGAACTCGTAGTGAAGGATTTTCCTTTTTCGCAAAGCAATGCACAGTATGTAGATGTAAGAATGTTGGGAGTTATTATGGCTTCCACTGACACTAAAGCTGGAGGTTATTACTGATGTCACCTTTCCTGATGGAAGTGTGGAGGGTGTCATATCTGAATTATCTGGCAAATGATGTAATGCTGACCGTCTGCCTTTTAAACCTTCTCGTTTATTAATGGGATCACTTTAAAGTGACAGTGAACTCAGGAGTTAAATCTTAAAAAGTAGGGATGTCCTGATACCATTTTTTCAAGATCAAGTACAAGTAGAAGTACCTTCCTTCAGGTACTTGCCGATACCAATTACCGATATCTTTTCTTAAAGGGACATGTGACGTTTTTTTCTAAAATAATACAGACTAGTGATTTTAGGGCAGTTTCTCGTTATAATTATGAAGAACTGTAACTGAGTCCAATGGAGAATGGCAACCAGCAATAGAGGACTATAGATGTTATCAATCCATGATTATTCAGCAATGGAGAATAGCAACTGACTATAGAGCCCCACAAATCTCAGCAATCCATGATTATTCAGCAATGGATGACAACCAGCAATCATGGATTGCTGAGATTTGCAGTCCTCTATAGCCGGTTGCCATTCTCTATTGCTGTATAATCATTGATCCCATCAATCCATGATTATACAGCAATTATACAGGGCTGTGTTTGGGTCTCCCCAGGGCTGCATGCATGATCTCACATAGCCCTAGTGCAGGGCTACGTGTGGTCTCACCAGCACTGCGTGCAGATCTCACCAGGGCTGCATGTGGGTGCCAGGCTCTCCGGGCGGTATGGTTGGGTGCCAGGCTCTCCGGGCGGTACGGTTGGGTGCCGGGCTCCAGGGCTGTATGGTAGTGTGGGGCTGTCCTTTGATGTCCCTGTCTCTGCAGGCGCTGGAAAAGAGCAGGAGGTGATGTGCAGCCGGGCAGGCACTGTCAAAGACAGCTGCCCGAGGTCCGAAGCAGGCTGTCTGAGGTCCCCAGCAAGCGTGGGACCTCAGGCAGCCAAACCTGTTTAAAAATGTAAAGGGTCTATATCGGCCTTTAGTATTGGGGCATATTCACAAGTACAAGTAATAGTGAAAATGCCCTGTATTGACCCCGATACCAATACTATTATTGGTATTGGGACACCCCTATTAAAAGTGCATTCAAGTACCCTAACTTTAAACAAAAATGACTTCTATTTGTGTATTACTCAGCTGTAAAACCTCAAATCATCACTGAATTGGTGCGGACACAGTCCTTCCTTCTGGAGGGGGGCTACTTTTGTTCCCCATGGTCCCTGTGTGTGTTGTAAAGTAACCACCACTCCAAGCTCGCCCCTGTGATGGACTACAATCTCATGTTTAGTTTACGAATTTGTATTGAGATTGTAGTTCCCTTGTTGTCCTGATCCAGCAGTTTCAGTATTTCCTAAATCACTGCCTAGAAATGAATATGCAGATTAGGAGTTCAGACTTCTCTCTGATTTTCCTGATCTGCATTCTTACCAATACTTTCTTACCGATACCAATACTATTATTGGTATTGGGACACCCCTATTAAAAGTGCATTCAAGTACCCTAACTTTAAACAAAAATGACTTCTATTTGTGTATTACTCAGCTGTAGAACCTCAAATCATCACTGAATTGGTGCGGACACTGTCCTTCCTTCTGGAGGGGGGCTACTTTTGTTCCCCATGGTCCCTGTGTGTGTTGTAAAGTAACCACCACTCCAAGCTCGCCCCTGTGATGGACTACAATCTCATGTTTAGTTTACGAATTTGTATTGAGATTGTAGTTCCCTTGTTGTCCTGATCCAGCAGTTTCAGTATTTCCTAAATCACTGCCTAGAAATGAATATGCAGATTAGGAGTTCAGACTTCTCTCTGATTTTCCTGATCTGCATTCTTACCAATACTTTCTTACCGATACCAA